TCTTAATTACCAGTCAAGAGTATATCTACTTTGATTGTTAAGAATTGAAAGCATGTCCGTTGTAATTTGAATAGCTAACTGATTCAGATTCTTACATATTTACTACAATAGCATCTCACAGAAACATGGTACTGGCGGAATTATCTGTAATAATATTTACTCTACAAAGAAAATCCTAATATTTGAATGTAATAAAAATATCTAACATCATCCAAGAAGTCTCTTAATTATCCCTCCAGTATACTTACTTCTTCGATTGTGAAGAATTGAAAGCATGTCCGTTGTAATTTGAATAGCTAACTGATTCAGATTCTTACATATTTACTACAATAGCATCTCAAAGAAACATGGTACTGACGGAATTATCTGTAATAATATTTACTCTACAAAGAAAATCCTAATATTTGAAGGTAATAAAAGTACCTAATAGCATCTATAGATACTAAAATCAGCCAAGAAGTCTCTTAATTACCCTTCCAGTATACCTACATCTTTGATTGTGAAGAATTGAAAGCATGTCCGTTGTAATTTGAATAGCTAACTGAATCAGCTTCTTACATCTCCAGTATAATAGCATCTCACAGAAACATGATACTGGCGTTATACCGGAACGGCCTAAGCACGAAACCCTTGGTGGTCCGTGGTTTGGAAGGCGTCAGATGCTAATCTCTCGTTAATTCTTCAAAAGTTCTTCGGTTCTTCGGATATTATTACGTAAAATGTAAGCTATGAGTATTGGATCTAACACTCTTATGGACACCTTACCGTTGTGACTTATTGCGAACATGACGGGATCTACTACTTCGGTTATATATTCTCAAGAAGTAATAATAACAATAAAAAACAAAACGCAAAATGTATTAGGAAACCATATAAAGCTTTATTGGGGTAGAAATATAATTACAGACAAAACAATTAATGATAACAGACCTGACATTACATGACCATCAAGAAATCAAAACAACCTACTCATAGGTACCAAACACTGAAAATGTGGAATCAGATCACAGTTAGAATTATTCCAATAATAATTTCATCAATGGGCGTTATACCTAAAACATTACATGCTAGCCTAGCCGAGTGGAAAATGCATAAACAGTCTACAAAAATCAGTAATCCTTAATACATGTGGAATAATCCACAAATTACTTAACACTTCCGCCATATTCCCTTTTCCAGATAACACAATAAGTTAAATCAGAAGCGGGGTTATTAATAATCTTCGATTACATTTCAGGACAAGAAGTACTGATAGCTCATAAAAAAATTAATAACAGTTACCTAATTGGTTTCCATAACGTATCCCAAAAAATGTGAATGAGGTTGTTTGACATCAGCCCGTCTTTAGTTGCTCAAAGTTAACCATTGAAAACTGAGAAGACCAGAGAGTAATACATAAAAAATTTAAAAATGCATTATTAAAGAATATACCTATCAGTTGAAAATGGCTTGATAGAGGGATGATGGTATATATACAGGCATTCACTTCAGCAAAAAACACTGACATCCTAAAAACCAACTTGAACTGAACATTTAACTAAATCATTACGAATTACAGTAGGTAGAACGAAATTTGCTAATAGAACAAAGCATTTTTTAACATGATTCACATAACTGCCCCAATAGAAAATGATGTAGATTTCAACAAACCTGAAGGGGTATTTGGTACGAATTAAACGATCAAATCAACAAATTGTGAGGTTTTAACTTTTTTGGTTTAAATAGGTATTCACATTCCTAGTGTAGCTTAGTCATATGGTGAAGCTGAAACAGATAAAGGCTTAGCCAAAGATTTTTCATTGCTTCATACCTACTATAGTTAGAAACTAAATATTGATAACAATTATAGAATAGACAAAATAGCTTGTCTGATAGGGCTTACTAAGATCTTAAAGGAATGAATGCTAAAATGTTAAATATATTTATGATCTAAGGCCTTGTGAGACAAACCTACATATCAGAGCAAAAGAAACATTAATGCATGATTGATACAATTTAAAAATGCTAAAGACTGTACCTACATGAAATGTTTACTAAGATATAAACATAGGTAGTGTGTCGAAAGAGCTATTGTGACAAGTATTAAAAGGGAAGAAAAATTTTGCAGAATTACTTTGTATAGTTCGATCATTTTTTCATCTTGTTTTCTCAGAAAATATTAACAGAAAATAGATTTAATATATATACGAAAAATGTTCTAAAAAATGGTAAATACTTATATTTAGTTCCAATTAAAATTTCTTGTAATAAGTATCTTCATTTAAATCGAAATGAATAATATTACAACTTCATAGATAATGAGTAACAAGAAAAAGAAAGACAAGGAAACATTTCCATAAGGGAGTGGTTTATTAAAACAAATATTACTTATTTGATAAGCACCTACCTAACTATACGAAATAAGAATATTTATTGTTATGTATTCCCTTTTATTTAAACAAAATTTATTGGCACGTTTCTTCTAGGATGTCATCATAAATGCTATCCAAGGTTTTCCATTCCTTCTTAAATTAAAATAGGTAGTTTTATAAAATATAAAAGTAAAGCACTTTATCGATTCGCACTGTAAAGAATAGATATTTGTAGCAGTTTTTGTAATTTATTTCAGATCCTCCTTCCCGTCTCAGTTCTCCGGCTTCAGTTGAACGTCTCGACGATGACGATATTGAAGTTGACGTGGAAGAATGTTCTGATGGCGAAATGTCATCTTCGAAAGCGAAATTTCGACAATCACCCCCCATATCTGAATGTAGTTCGGATCAAGTAGACGCAGATCGAATTACACCCGATCTTCTGCCGGATAGGACGATTTCAAAAACTAAAATACTTTGTAACTGTGAAGAACTCACCACCATTGACTGTCACTTAGAAACAAAAGATCTTTGGGACAAATTCCATGAACTGGGAACCGAAATGATCATCACCAAAACTGGAAGGTAAGAATTTTTAATTTAAAGAAAAATGAAGATGTCATTATTTCCCAAAAAGAAGCATCAAATACGGTTGTGGTCCCACCCACAACAGTTTAACCTTACCTAAGTTTATATATTTTTCATCGGTGGTAAATAGATACGTTTACGTCGCATTGTCATTCTTTATCTACTCCTTAGATATTTCTTAAACTACTGAAAAGATAAAGAATCGGATTTCATGTCAAACATAATTATCTCTACAACCTCACAGGTTATTAGGTTTTGATGTAGAATCGAAGATTGCTAACATGTTGAATTTGCGAATATGTGGGTGTAGTAATACGTTGCGAGATAAACCACATTCGTGTCACAAACGTCTAACTTTTACTTGTTGAGTCTGTATATATAAAAATTTCGATTCTGGTATTTGTAGGCTAAAGCTGTGTATTAGGAGAGATGGACTAAGTAAAAAAACTGGTAAACTAAAAAAAAAAATAGCAATAAAATCAGTGGGTACGAAGACTAATGCAAAAAACAAATTCAAATGTTAACGTGTTAGCTAAATGGAAATATAGAGAATGAGTGTGTTGGACTCAACGAGTACTAGCATCAGAGAAAAAACGATTAAAGCATCAAATGTTGCTATATTGTAACTGCGTGATGATATTCTACGTCTTGTAACAAAATTTTTAAGATTTACGACACCAATACTACAAATAATTTTTACAATTTCAAAACCATCGTTTCCACTGTGTTGTATAATAATATTACAAGNAATTTTTAGAGAAGCAGTTAGAATTAGTTTTGAAACCACTGTAATAAATTTGCACTAAATTTTTGACGTTATATGATATACAGCGAAAAAATAATACCGAAATGGCTCTTAGATCTGAATAGAATTTTGAGAGGGATGCAGGTAGAGTTTCTAAGTGGGTAGTTACATTGCCTACCTCTTGCAGGCCCCATGAGATTGCCCCCCCCCTAGGGCTTATAACGCCTTGCCGCATTTGCACATAATATATGGGAGAAGAATTATTGCTACCCCATTAAAAATTTTAGGCAAAATGAACTTTATTATTAATGAAAAAAATAAAACATATACATATATCACTTATTTATAAAATTTGTTTGCTTTTAAGTAAGATTGAATTATTTAGCTGGTTTGTAATCAATAATACGTTAAATTGCAATCGTTTTACTGTTGTTCGACCTGATACGTCTGGTTTCAGTTATCTTGTAATAACAATATCAGGAAGTACACTTATTCGTTTATTGCAAATGTAAAAGATTTTATTGAAACAACGACATAGTGGGGCATATGCCCCGTGTAAATTCTAGTCGGTTAATCATCGGTTCTCAGTTTTACAGATAAACCTGCAAGAACTTGTCCATATACATTTATTATTTGTTATTTGTATTTATTGTAGTTGTGTTTGGTCAATTTCGTTCATACTAATCAGGGAACAGTAAACTATCAAAAACATTATAGCGCAAATTGTCGGATAAGATTTTACCCCCCACCCTGATTTTAAGCTTAATAATCGATTATAAGTCTGTCAATTTAATTTAAAGTTGGTACGAAAAATTAATGAATCACATGGTTTTGGAAGTATCCGTTTGGGTAGATGAATTATATGAAGGTTTGTTTGAGAAATACTGTTTTGCTCAATTTGTTTGTGTTTGTCAGAATTAAACAGAAACCCTGGTAAATTTACCATAAATGAAATTTTTGTAAGATGCATTAGTTCATTTTCTTTCTATTTCGGACTTGATTACAATTATCCATTGGGAAAGGTGATGTGATTCTGTGTTCGTACATAATAATAATTATGTATTCATTTAAATAATGTTATCGATTACTTATTTAAATATTTCCGAGCAGTGCTGCCTCTACTGGCTGAGATGTGAACTAGCCTCAATCACCAAACAGCGGCAATAGCCAACTACGTAGTTGCTACACTGCCTATTTTTCGTTAGCTATGCGCGCGCAACATCCGTTGCATCCTAAAGTTTAACTCTTAATTCCTTGGATTAGAAGAAATACAACTGCGCTTTTAAAAATAAACGTTGCAGTTTGAATGATTAGAATTTCTATGAAATTAATGGAGCGGTTAAATGAGATTATTTTCATTATAATAATTATCAAACATTAATGTGAAATCAACTTAATTTCTTCCCACTTTAATAGCAATTTTGATAGTAGCCTACGGGCATCTAAAACGAGTGAGATTTGACAAAGAGCGAGAGGGTTATTCACATTGTTTTGTCCTGACGTACATAATATTAAACGAAAATAATTAGTCCGGCCAACGGAGGGGGCTACAGCCCCATTGCCCCCCCCCCTGTTGGATCCGCCACTGTCCATCACCGATGCTGTATGTGGACCCAATATACGACGATATAGACCCGAATCAGAACAGCATCAGTTTACATTGGATAATGCTTTAGCATATAAGGAATCTACTGCTTTATAGTTTACTGAAAACAGCAAAATATTGATATTGGCCCTTTTAGCTCCAAGACACAGAATTTAAATCGGTAAGAG